CTATAAAATGATTTGAGTATCTTTATGATAGGCAAATGACATTTTGCTTCAGATAAATTTTAACTATCAAGTACTACAGACTAGCATTATTATTTTGTGTGCATGTGAGAGGAGATAGAATACACAGTCTGGAACCTTCTGCTGAAGAAGACTGTAGATCCAGAGTAGGATAGATCTAGATTCAGAAAAAGCAAGGGAACAAAACTGTAGACGTGTCTTCCTTCCTCCCATTGAGTGTCTCATCTCTCCTCATGGTTTTAATTTGCATCTTCCTGACCACAATTAATGGTACTTTTCATATGGTCACTGCTCACTTGTGAATATCTATTTTTGATTCTGAATGTTTTTCACATTTTTAAATGGGGTGTTTGTCTCTCTGTTGTGTTGTCACAGCTCTTGCTACAGTCTAGACACCAGTACTTTGTCAGACATGCTTCACCATGTCTGACAGAGGCTCGCCATCTCTCTTGTCACTCGTCTTCTTCATGGTGGCATTTGATGAGCTGAAGTTGTCAATTTTATTGGTTTCTCTGACTTAGGCACACATTCTCCTTTGCTAAAAATCTTATAGCTTTAATGTTTAGGCACAGCTCATTTATTTCTTACTTCTGTCTTGATGATTTTCATGATTTTCAGAGTAGATTCTCTAAAGAAGTGTAAGATAATAGCTAGTTAAAAATACTTATATTTAGGAACAAGTAAGTTTAACAGGATCATGAGACTCCTATTAAATATCTCTCTTGAGAAAATGTATGCAGGTATAGAACTATTGAACAGACTAGACCATCTTCCATAGCTGTGTTCTGCCTTCCAGCATGTACTTTAAGAATATAAAAGGTTCTTCTGATGAAAGGATGCCGGTGATTTACTTTAAACAGGTAAGGGTCTGGAGTGTGCATTTCTGGGTAATGGCCAGCACTTGCACAAGGAGTCTCCTCCCACAGGGAACCTGTCAGAGAAATGAGCAGGTTACCTTCCTCCTCATGGCCCCGGTGGTCTTCAGAATTGTTTTCTCTACACTTCTAGATCTGAAATAATGTGACTGGCCACACTCCTTCAAGCTAAGATTGTAGCTTGTGTCCGTGGGAAGCATGATGATTGACTTCAGTTGTCAACATGATTGGTTTTAAAATCATCTGGAATCAGACCTCCAGATGTGTCCAGATGGGTATTTCCAGAGAGGCTGAACTGAATGGGGAGACCTACCGTGAAATGGGAACATCATTATTCCATGAGCAGGGGCCTTGAAATAAACAAAAATAGAAGAAAAGAGAAACCAAGTTGAGCATCAGCATTTCCTGCTCTATTTCCCGTTTCAGTCAAGTGTGGGGAGGTGAGGGGTCACAGCTCAGACCTACTTACTTCTGCCACCTTGCCTTCCTCACGTGATGGACTGCACCCTCAAATTGTGAGCCAAAATAAAGCCTCCATTGAGTTGCTTTTCAGCTTTTTTGTTGGTTATTGCAATTCTGAGAATTCATCCCAGCTCAACACTGAGGTATATACTTCTAGCCCTTATGTAGCTTTTTGTCACAGTAGTGAGACAGGTAACTAATATGGGAGGTGTGGCTGCCATCTGCCTCATAAGTAGAGATACTGATGGGCGAGCATGCCATTGGACATTCCCTTCAACAGAGGGTGGTGGCTCATTTAAACCCTTACATAGCAATTGTTTTGAAAATAGATTTCCTGAAAGTTAAACTTAACTTTTGGCAAGGCTGACACAGTGGAGGCTAAGGGGAGCATATAACCTCTGAGGTTTGGAAAGCCAAATGTTATCACAGTTCTGCCTCAGTTGTCTGCATATTGCTTCCTTTGAAATTTGCAGTTTAGAGTCTAAGTTTTTCACCTTTTAATGCCTGGAAATGCTGACACCATTTGGCCATTTCTTTGTGTTGTCCAGGTAATACACCCAAGTAAGATAAGAATATATTTGCCAAATCAAAGAACATCCGTCTAAAAAAATTAGACTGCTGCATTCAAAATGTTCTCCTAACTCAGATAAACCACAGACTGTTACTGGTGTGTATTTTGTGCTATTTCCACTGGTGATAGTATCCCATATTGTGATGTCTTCCCAGAAGATTTTTTTCCCTGACTTAAAAAAGTTTCTAATATAAAGGTTATATTATCAACAAATGCTAGTTTGAAAGAACCAAATAGGATTTTGAAGATTACCCTTCTTTAACAATGCCTTAAATTTTTATCTCCTTATCCATTCCGAGTTGCTTTCTTTCTCAAGACATTATGGTTTATTGTGTCTCCAGCAGGTACCTTGCATGTGATTTACACAGTGAATGGCCCTGCTTTCAGAGCAAGTTAATGATATAATATCCCCATTTATATTCAGAGCAGTCAACACTCTCTAGCTCTCAGAATAATAAAAGCACCTGCATTTAATATACATGGAAGAATGGGAAGGCAAATAGCAGATAAGGCACAATCAGGTAAGTGTAATCAGATAAAATATCACAATATTATAGTAGATCAGCATCTCGTAATGACTTGAATTTTGAAAGACTGACAAACAGCATGGCCTGAAGCAGCCAGGCATACTCATTCCTAGCAAGTCTTTCCAGAGCTGATTGCTCCTCTCATGTGTTTTCTGGCAGATTAAGCAGGTAGTTTCTTATTTTAACTCTTCTAGAACTACAATGTCACACAGAAAAACATCAGCAATGTTCCTTTTGAGACCATATCAAAAACAAAAATAAGTGACATACCTGAAAGGAAAATGTTCCATTTCCAGCAGTTATCTCAAATTGATTCAAATCCATTTTATTAAAAAGCAAATAAATATTGCAGTCTGAGGCAGAGCTTTCATTTCTACATCAATCTTGGCCTGCATGAAATTGACATTTTCTTCTTCCTCGTTTTTAGACAGCAGAGAATGGTTAGGTGACCAGAACCTGTTCTTCAAGGTCATCTTCACATTTACCATAGCCACCTGGTAAATCTAGCTGTACATTGTAGTACTCCATGAGCCCTAATGTATCAGAACCCCGTGGGTTCCAGTAGAAAGCACTGAATTTGCCAAAATCACAACTAAAAAGACCTACTCTATAGGGAAGGATATAGCAATTTTCTTTGGCTTTTAAGTCACTCTATGTTGGAGGCCATTGATCTTTTCATGTAACTCCTTTCACCTTTCCACGTGTCCCCCGGGGCCTAGGAGTGTAGGTTGTGAGTTGTGGGAGAAGCCAGGAACCGAGGGGCTGCAACAAATGTATGTCCACTTGAGAGTTTGCCCTAATGTCAGTGCCCTCCACTGCCACAAGGTCTGGCTGCCTCCAGATCGGGGAGCACATTTGTTCTTAATCTACTGCAGCTAAAACTGAATGGACTAATCCATCTTCTGACAAGGGCTCCATTCACTTTCTCATTCCTATCCTAAGGGTGGTAACCCTGAGTGCTGGGAAATCTCTTAAATAAAACTTCTGTAAATCTGAATGTGGATGAGATGAAATAAATATTCTTTTAATTTTTAAAAATGTATTTAAATAACATTTTTCATTTATTTTATATACCAACCTCAGCATAGGAGGAGAGGAGGGAGAATTTAATTTTTGTTTAAAAAAAAGATTGTCATTGGTATGAAATAACTATTGGACTTAGAACTGAGGCAGGCAAATGGAGCGAAGACATAGCAACCTGGGACTCTGCTTGTCTTGAGATCCACAAACATCCCTTTTCTGACAAGGCATGTAGCAACCAGGAAGATGATTGGAGATGCCGTATATATAGGCATTTTCAGCCTGCAATAAGACTCCTCCATTTACAAAGGAGCCAGTGAAGCCCAGAAAGAGGGTCACTCCATTCCTGACCCTTGTACTGTGGATGATTGACACCCAAGAGGTCCTCCTATCTCTCAAGGGAATCTACAGCACTCCTCGTGGCTCTCTCTTACAATGTACTGTGCAATGCTTCACCAATCCAAAGGCAGGAGTGTCATCAGATACATCTCCCATAGCAGAGATTTCCCTGTCTTGCTGAAATCTGCTTGTCTGTGTCCACATGTGTTTAGGCCTTGATTTATAACATTCTTTGTTCTGTTGCTTACTTCAGAAGAAACTTCACAAAACCATTAGCCTCTTAGCAACATGAAGTTTGGGATAACCTAAATCTGTGTTCTCTGACCAGAGTCACTCATGATTATCTCTAGAATAGCTATATAGTCTTGCCTTTTGGAGTCTTTCCACAGTGAGTTCTCAGGTAAAGGAAAAACTAAAGAAATAAAATTAAAAAGAGATGATTTTATCTATTGGAAAACACACACACACACACACACACACACACACAGAGAGAGAGAGAGAGAGAGAGAGAGAGAGAGAGAGAGAGAGAGAGAGAGAGAGAGAGAGAGAGAGAGAGATCTGGACCCAGAGTTTCCAGGCTGTTTGAGCATTGTTCAGAGACTATGGAAACACACACAAGCAACAGGGAATTTTCTCCAGAGTGAAGGTAAAGTTCATGTGTCCTGCAAAGGAGCAGTGGACCCCAAGCGTGAGTGCGCAAGAGAACCTGATGACGCCTGGGGCTCCCTGTTGTGGGTCCAGGAGAAGGGGAGTCAGTTGCTAGGGATGGGTTGTAAGTGGCCTCTTGGTTTTAATTGGTGCCCTTTTCACATCGTACATACTCTGGAACCTATCCAGGAGCTATAGACAATGGCTGGTCCAGCCAGGACTGGGTTTAAGTGTATGCACATTAAGGAAAGTTATGTGCTATGAACTTTTATCATCTTATGCTTGTACATGATTGGGTATGCCTCTAATTAAAGTTACATACATAATGGGTGTGGCAGTTTTAAAAAATGGCTACCAGAGGAAGCAGCACTGTTAGAAGGTGTGGCCTTGTTGGAGGAAGTATGTCACTGTGGGGGCAGGCTTTGAGGTCTCTTTTGCTCAAGCTTTCCTCAGTGTGACTGTCAGTGGGCTTCCTGTTGTCTGCAAGATATAGGACTCTCAGTAACTGCCACATATGCCTGCATGCCACCATGTTCCTCACCGCGTTGATAATGGACTGAACCTCTGAAACTAAGCTAACTCCCTCAATTAAACGTTTCCTTATACGAGTTGCCATGTCCACGGTCTCTCCTCACAGCAATAACAACTCTAACTAAGACAATGGGAAAGGACATCTCTGTGCAGTGAGGTAAGGCTTATATAACCCAAGCCTATCAATCAAAAGCAGAAGATCACTTATAGCCTGCCCCTGGCAACCAACTATTCTCTCTCCTGGACTCACAAAAGGAATACCCAGGCAGTGACCAGACCCTCTTAAATAGCAAGCCTGCTCAGACCCCACTCTCTTGCAGCATATTTGACCTATACTTAAGCTTTGCTCCCAAACCAAATCCCTGCGGCTTTACTTAATTTATCTGATTCTTTAACTCTTTGAACAACATCTCTGGAAACAATTACTCAGACAGAGACCACCGGTAACAGAACTGTTCTATTTTCTTTGAGAATAATCTTTCTCAAGAATGTGTCTACCTTTCTACCTATCTGGTTTGGAATGCCATAACAAGGTGTTTTAACTAATGGAGATTAATTTTCTGATAGTAGTAGAGGCTGACTAAGATCAGGGTGCAGCATGGCCAGGTTCTGTGGAGGGTTCTGTTCCTGTCTTACAGTAAGCAGATGTCTTATTGTGTGTGCCTAGAGAGAAAGTCCCATCTTTGGTTTGTTTCTTTTTACAGTTATAATGTCACTCCAAGGGGCTGTTACTATGACTACATCTGTGCCTATTACAATGCTGTCACTTCAGATATCATCACAATAGGGGTTATGATTTCAATGAATGAACTGGGTAGCCGGGTGGGGTGGTGGTGGAATGACACAGTTTGGTCCTTCCACAGTGCTACCCAGCTGCATTATTTTGTCAAAGTAAGGGTGAGACTGAACCACTGTCTTCAGAAAAATGGATCCTTGAAGAGTATCAGTTCAGTCCACAATGGAACAAGTACCAGTTGTCTGAGAGTCTTGGCAGCATGAGTGTCCTTCATCCTCACCCATACCCACTCTGGTGCCTGCACTTACTCACCCTGATGCATCCACCTTAGTCTTGTAGAGAGATCCGTCACAAGAGAGTGTTTACAGCAGTAAGTAAAAAGGAAAAATGGCAACTTTAGGCGGGTTATGGTGTCATCAGTCCCTTGTATGTTCTACATTCCTTCTGCCCTCACAGGAACATGGACCTATTAGAATTTGGAATTAAATTAACACAGAGGGGTGAATTAACCTACCAAAGAAAATTTCCATTATATTCTGATTATAATTTCCATTATATTACCATGGGTGTAAAAGGACTGAGTTTCAGAAGGTTTGAATGATTAGAACAGAAAGCATAGAAGAGTTTGTGGAGAATCAGAGATTAATTATAACCCTGCTTTCTAAGCATTTTGTTTTGTATGTTTATTTCCATATAATCCATCATTGAATGCTTTGGGGAGATGGGTTGAGATTTGCATTTTACAATTGAAATAGTGAGTCGCTTCAAGGTCAGGAGATGAAATCTAGATTATCAATTTAAACACGAATTGCACCATACTGAAAGTTGAAAAGGCCTCCCCCGCTTTTCATTTCACTTCTTTGATTCTTCCCTGTAAGAATTGTTATTATTTTAAGTTGTCATTGTCTGAGTCTGGGCTGTGACAGGCAATGCTAACGATGTTTTAAAAACATGTATCACTCACTGGTCTGATTTATTGTAGGCAGTTTAGATAAAATATGATGAAGACCATTTCAACTTCCGGATCGCAAACATTTCTGTTTCTGCTCGAAGCCACATTAACAAGGATTTCGGGTACAATGATGAAGATGGTGCAACCGGTATTATTTCTGGTTGTACCAGTGTGTCTCACTCTCAGGGACATCCTCTTGCAGGCCTAGGCTGCCACAGTAAGGGGTGCTCAAGCTACCTGATCACTGACCACTCCAGCTATGTGGAACAGACTGTTGCATTGTATAGCACGTCTGTGCTGCAGTTGGGTGTGAAGCATGTGCCTTTATAACTGAAGACTTTGACTTATACATACCGTATTTGATTATGTGACGTCCTGACCCTCTTTGTGTTTGAGGCAAGGCTTCATGTGTGCAGGCTGGCCTCAGACTTGCTATGTAGCTGAGGATGACCTCAAGCTCCTTATCCTTCTGCACCGCCATTCCCAGTTTACACAGTGCTAGGGACCAAACTTAGGGCTTCAAGCACTGTAGGTCAGCACTCAGTCAGCTGAGCACCCCCTCCCCTGAAGTCTTGACTTTTGAGAAATGACAAGAAAAAGAATAAAACGTCTGTGAAAACATGTAGGCGTGACAACATCCTAGGATCTGCATGTCCTTTCTTTTCACTGTAGCTTTGGGTTGAAGATTTTTGGTGACAAAAAGATACTCTGTAATTTCATTTTCAATGATATTTGAGTCCTACCCCCTGAGGGAAAGGCTTGATTTTGTACAGGCTGAATGTGAAGGTGGCTCTTTTCATGTTTCAGAAATCAGAAATGACGTAATCTTCTGGTGTGCTAGGTTTTGCTGCCCATTTCTGGGAGGACATTGACTTTAGCTTCAGCTTTCTGATATTAAAAGCAGGAGCAGCCCCTGTGAGGTGGCGTCTTGATTTCCTTTTTGAACAAAACTTAGATCTGTTTGGTCTCAGAATATCTGAATCGGAGTTTCTAATAGTTGTTAAGACCAGAAAGTGGATAATTTCCAAAAGCCTTGGTCTGAGGCCTCTGGTGCTAACAGCTCACTTGTGTGTGTGTGTGTGTGTGTGTGTGTGTGTGTGTGTGTGTGTGTGTGTGTGTGTCTGCAAGGGGCGGCCATTGAGCTGTGGGTGTAGATGCTGCTGCCATCAGTGGAAGGACCTGTGTCCTGAGCAGTTGGCCCTGAGCCTTGCTAGCTTTACGGTGGGACAAAATCAAAACAAGTGAGTTAAAATAAAGGGAAAGTGTTTCCGTGCTATTTTTTTTTGTTTGTTTGTTTTTGAAACACAGTTTCTCTGTGTAGCCCTGGACTCCTTGGAACTTGCTCTGTATACTAGGCTGGCCTTGAACTTAGAGATCTACTGGTCTCTGCCTCTTGAGTGCTAAGATTAAAGGCATGCCTGGCAAAGCCTTTTTTTTTTTTTAAAGATTTATGAATGTGAATGTTTTGACTGTGCCCATGGAAGTCGGAAGAATGCAACAGTTACCCTAAAACTGGACCTGCAGGTGGTTGTGAGCCACATGTGAATGCTGGGACTAGAACCCAGCTTCTCTGCTTTTAACCACTGAGCCATCTCTCCAGACCCAATTTTTTTCATCCTATTTTAAATAACCTCATTTAATAACTTTAGGTAGATTCTGGAAATTTTGTTACTGCATAATATCACATAATTATCCAATTATATAAAGTATTAAAATACATATGATCGTTTCTTCCATGCATTGTGTGTGTTTAAGCAGCACACATTCATTCTCCCTCCCCCCTCCTGAGGAACAAGTATGTTTTATTGGAGATGAAAAATGGCTAAATATAAAATATGATCAGTGGAGAAAAACCATCTGAAAAAATAGTAACTTAGCCGACTAATGAGCATTATGATTAACATATTCTACACATCTATCAATACCCAGGCTCAGTATGCCTCTGTTCCTCTCCAAAATTAATAATGACAAGTACCGGGACCCTGTTAATATTTGAGTAGTCTAATTGGCACAGACAAGCATGTGGCAGAGAAGAACGTTAGTTAGTGGTCAGGGTCGCCTGTCTGTTGAACAGCAGTTTTCCTCAGGGTCTTCTCTAGCCTCAGCTCTCATTGAGATTTCCTATTCCCTCCCTCACTTCTGAGTTCTGTTCTCTTTGTTTCCAAGACACTCTGAACAAAGTGTATTCACTAGATTAAATGGATTTGTAGATGTGCTTTACCTAAAGGTACTCACAGGCTACTTGATGACAGAGTCTGTACCATTGGTTTTTGGGTACCTGACACATAGTAGGCACTGGTGGAACATTTGCTGAACAAATGTTCAATACATTCTCTTTTGCTAGCATGCAACAAAATAACATGGAGTCATAGGGAGCTTTAGATGTGAAAGACACTAAGTGCTTTCATTTTAAACATTTTTATTACTTTAATTTTAAATAGCTTGCTTCACATGTCAATCCCAGTTCTCTCTCCCTCCCCTCCTCCTGCACCCTCCACAACCCCCCCCCAAGCCTCCCACCCTATCCCCACTTCCTTCCACATAGGGGATATCCAGAGTCTGTCATTTCACTCAGGGCAGGGTCCAGGCACTCCCCTAAGGGTCCAGGCTGAGAGAGCATCCCTCTTTGTGTTATGGACACACGAAGTCTGTTTGTATGTCAGGCATAAATACTGAACTACTGCCCAGGGCCCCATAGGTTGCACAGGCCTCCTCACTGACTCTCACATTCAGGGGATCTGGATCAGTCCCATGCTGGCCTCCCAGGTGTCGGTCTGGGGTCCAAGAACTCCCCCCTTGTTCATATCAGCTGTCTCTGCTGGTTTTGCCAGCCCATTCTTTGCCAATTCGCTCATTGCTCCTCTCTCTCTCTCTGTCACTGGGTTCCGTGGCTTCAGTTCAGTGTTTAATTTGGGTGTTTGCCTCTGCTTCCATCAGTCTCTGGATGAAGGTTCTAGGATGGCATATAAAGCAGTGCTTTCATTTTATAGTGTGTTGCAAGACACAGAAAGTTGCTTGCGTTTCCTAAATGTGGGTAGCACTTTGGCTTGGTGATGGTAAAGGAATGGGATGGTCATTTTGGCAGAGTACAGGGGAGTATGACAAGAGCACGGGTCCCAGTGTTCTAGGTATGGCTTTGTCATAGGATTTGGCCATAGTTTTGGGACTCACGCTTTTTAGAACCCCTCTTAATTTTATTAACTAGACAAGAAGAGGTAATCTTACATGAATTTCAGATCAGTCACACTTTGAAACCCTTTTCATGTTTTACTGATCTTTGAGGGATTGTCTGTAACCGCATCCTGTTAGCCCCTCATAAAGCTCTTGGCAGTCCTGTTCTCTGTTTCGGTCTGGGGTCCTCTGGGCACTTTTTCTTTTCTTTTTTTCTTTTTAATTTTTATGTTCATTTCTCTCTCCCTCCAGTCCTGCAGGATTTGCTTTGAGCTGCAGAGAAATCTGCACATAGTGGGTTTTAGTTGGTGCTCCCTTTCTTCCCACAGGGGGCCTGGTTCTCCTCTCCACTGCTCACGGTGCTCACGGTGCCACCACTTAGAATTCTTGGCCTTTCTCCTGCCGTCCCTCACCTGTAGCTGGTCTACAAGAACTTTTAAAGTCCTCTGCCCTATTTTTATTTTCTGTCAATGTAAAGTCTGAGGCTATTTCACTCTGGGTTTATCTCACCCCTGTCCCTGCTTCCATGGCATGCTTCCATTTTGCATATGATAGTAACACTAAGTACTGTGAATGTGTATTTTGTGTCTGTGTTGCTGCAGGGATTTACTTTCACCATCTTGAAGTCTTTGCACTGTTCCTAATTTTACAGACGAGGAAGCATCCTCAGGTGGCTTAAATAACTTGTGCTAATTGTCCAAGATAAAACCTGGTGCAGTTTCCAGTGTAGCAAGATACGAGTCAGCTGGTGCATGTAGTCAGTTTTGTCTTCATGCCCCCTTTTGTTTTAGAAGCAATATTGTATCACCATGTGACAAACATGTCGCCATCCTTACACTTCCTTGTTTTATTTGTTATTATTTATGATTTGCTTACATTATACCAACTTAAACTCTTAGAATAATGTGCTTCCAGTCCTCATTCTAACATGGAGACTGTACAAACATTTTTGTCATTTTAGTCTTTTGTATTGTCATTTCAGTTACTAAGTTATTTTCATCAAATTGGTTTGTCATAATTACATAAAGTTTAATTTTTGTTGTTACTGCAGAGTATTTAGAATATTTTCATTTTCAACTGAGAGTAATTATAATATTTATGTTCCCTTTGAAGATAGATGGTAATGTTGGCTTTCAAAGAAAATTTTTATTTAATTTTCAAATAACTCCCTATTCCAATAACAACATTCTGCACTTACTGTTTTAACTAATTTCCTTTATTTCTTGAGAATATTAAAGAAAATTTCAAACTTCTTACCATCTACTACTACGAAATACTTCAGGACCAACTTTTTAGTGCATAAGGAACTTTCTCTAAGGAAATCTCTGTAACAGCCATCTAAAACCCGAGTTTAAATTTATTTACATGATAATAATGGATCATTTCTCCTATTTGGTTCGTGCAAATTAGGGTCCAAGTGAGGCCCACACATTGCATGCAGTTGGTTGTTATATGATTAACATGTATTACTCTGGAGAGTAAATAATACACACACAGTCTCCCTATGTACCAGGCCTTCATCTTGTGAACCTCTTGTCTCATCTCTGGGGTGCTGAGATTACAGGTGTTTACCAGCCTCATTTACAAACATTTTAATACCATCAGCTTGTTAGACAGAAACAGTCCTCTATAGCATCTCAGAAAGCGGTCCTCTATAGCATCTCAGAAAGTGGTCCTCTATAGCATCTCAGAAAGTGGTCCTCTATAGCATCTCAGAAAGTGGTCCTCTATAGCATCTCAGAAAGTGGTCCTCTATAGCATCTCAGAAAGTGGTCCTCTATAGCATGTCAGAAAGTGGTCCTCTATAGCATCTCAGCATCTGTACATTGACAGTCTCCTCAAGGTGCTCTTTAACTTCCCTATCCACTGTATTTGTTTCACTGCTAGTTAAATATAATGAATTTAATATTACTGTAGTTCAGTTTTTAAGAAAGAACACTAGGTAAATGTATTCTTTACCTAGTATTCTCAGCACATTTTACCAAATCGTATCATTTTCTTTTTACCCCCCCTAAAATCAGAGATCTGGTTATATGCATCCCCATAAATAAGCATTAATGTTGAGGAGCCTGTGAAAGTGTGAACAGGAACATGAGTGGACATGACTGATTGCACGTGATTCAGAGAGAGGACAGCTGTGAAGTGCTTTATTTAACAGGGTGGCTTTTCATTGGGAATCAAATTCAAATACCTAAATTTTTCTCTTTCATCTTATTGGACAGGCTGTGAACTGGAAAAGTGGAATTTCACTTTGAGCTGTAAATGTATTGTTTCCTTATTCTCTAACTTCTAGTTGCTCATTTGCTGTATTTATTACTATTGTGTGGTATAGGCAACATCACTAGAAGTTTCGTTGCAGGAGCTGGGAATCTGAAAATGAAGAAGAGTTAATGTTAAACTTCCTAATCCAGTGTCTTGGCTTACAATTGTTTTATTGTACCTAAATAGTTGCCCAATTTAAGCTTGATTGTTGACCAGTTTTCTTTATTTTTCTTAAGAAATGGCTTTGGTATATTTTTACTATTACTGAGAATGAAGTTTCTCTCTCTCTTTTCTGTCTCCAGATGGCTCTTTAAACCCAAGAAGCAATTCTCTTTCCTTTAAAATATCTGTAAGTATTTGCATTGATACTGGTACATTGCATCTTTTTTCACTATTCCTTCATTGACCTCATGGTACTTGTTTTTGCTTTGATAATCCTCTGATATTTTTACCATGAGTGTAAATGGTGTGTGTGCCAGGAGTAATGCAGAGGTCATGTGTGTGTGCAACTGGGAGAAGAGAGCAGCATTGAGGGTGTTCTCTTCCCTCCCCCTCCCTCCCCCTCCCTTCCTCTCCCCTCCCTCCCTCTTGGAACAATAAAGAGGAAAGTGAACTTGAAGAAGGATGTTGCTGTAGGCTTGAGTTGATACAGAAAACTCTAGTGGCTTTAAAAATCACTGTAAATGTTCTCATTCTGTATTTCTTAAGTTGAAAGCAAACTGTTTTATTAGACTGCCAGACTCTTTTATGCATATTTTGTTCTTGGTATAACTAAAACCTCTGAGTTGCTTTTTGTTTGTTTTTTTTTTCTATATCAAATGGACACTTAGTTGCTAATCTGTTTCAGTTTTTCTCCAACCTCCTTTTTGTTAAGCTTAATAATTTCATAGGAATAATAAACATTTAATATAGGAACAATTGCCGGGCGGTGGTGGTGCACGCCTTTAATCCCAGCACTCGGGAGGCAGAGGCAGGCAGATCTCTGTGAGTTCGAGGCTGGGTTGGACCGATAGCCCCCAAAACAATACAGAGAAACCCTGTCTCGTAAAAACCAAAAAAAATATATATATAGGAACAATTATGTTAATTTTCATTTATGTTTCTGACCTTTCTATCATTAACTCTAATTTCCTTTTAATAATGAATCTTTTTGTTTGTTTGTTTTGCCTTTTGGTTTTTTGAGACAGGGTTTCTCTGTGTAATAGTCCTGGCTATTCTGGAACTCATTTTGTAGACTAGATTGGTCTCAAACTCACAGAGATCCACCTGCTTCTGATGGGATTAAAATCATGTGCCACCACTGCCCAGCATTGTAATGAATCTTAGTTCAATATTGTCACAGTATTATATTTGGATAAATGCTAAAAAGTCATCGTGTTAAGGCCTTAGAATATTATGGGAAAGTATGAATGGTTTTGCTTTCCATTCTAAAATACACGGAGAGGACCTGCATTATGTGCCTTTTCTCTGAGCGCTAGCATTCTCTCTCTCTCTCTCTCTCTCTCTCTCTCTCTCTCTCTCTCTCTCTCTCTCTCTCTCAATAAGTACAGAAATTAATCAAATATAAGTGAATAAATTTAGCAGTTCCTTCTAAGATCAACCATGAACTCTATGATTCTCAGATCCGGTACATGGAAACTATATATAAGTAGCTCCTAAAATTGTGAATCTCTCTGACTTGAGAACTAGCATGGACACAGTTCTTAAAAGAAGAAAGAATATCCCCCACTGTTCTATTTGCTTATTAAGATTTTGTCATTGTCAGATTCTTTCTTATGTAGACTTCTCTGCTTTGTTTGAGATAAGATCCTCTCTGTAACCTATGCTGGCTTGGAATTCACTGTTACCTAGGATGACCTTGAATCATAGTCCTCCTACCTCTTCTTCCCAAATGGAATTACAGGTGCAATTATACCTGCTTCATGTGCTGGGTTCTTGTCCTTGTGTGAAGTTCCACCTCTGAGAAGAACTTTTATGTGATTCATGGACACAATTTTCTCTTTGTCTTAAAGTATGAAAGTACTTACTATCTATTTAATAGACTTTTCCTGTGAATGTATGTCATTTGTAAGCTGTGAGCTCCTAAGCAGTGTAGAGTCTATATTCACTTCTTCCTATTGCGTAGAAGCTCTGGTTTTTAAGCAAATAAGAGTAAATTTCTCTCCATTTGGGTGAAGTTAATATATAAAGCCTTGACTATCAGACATGAATCATAAAACTGCTTAGACTAATATATTATTTGAGTATATCAAATGCTACATCGATTAATCTTAATCATTTCTATTCTTTTAAAACATCAACAGTTAAAAATTGCATATCTTATTATTAAAAATGGTTTGAGCTAAGATGTAATCTCCCAAATGAAGGGATAAAAATAAGAACAGGATGATGCAGAGAACCATTTTTCTTCCTAAAAACTTGAAATAAATTGAGATAAAAGAGTTACACATTGCTAAATAAATCAGAGGTCTTATGACATCTCTAATATTTTATAACACATTTTTGACTTGACTTATGTATTTAAAATAACTAGCAAGGTATTATTTAAATGCTAAAGCATAAATTGCAAATTGATATCTTTGATTTATATTAATGGTGGATAATATTTGGGATGTGGCAAGTGAGCCCTGAGTTTTGCAGTATTCCCCAGATGGGGCCATAGAGCCACAGCGCACAGGATAAAATGCTGCCTTAGGCACCATTTCTTGACTCATAGGTGCAGGCTGTCTCCTAGGAAGTGATGGAATCTTGATAGAACTTTCACTTCTGTTTCAGATATCCAGACTGTAGTGAAAGCTGCTAGACAGGTCTCAGCAATTCCATGCCGCTGTGGCAGACCAGATGGGTGCAGAAGTCTTCAAGGAGTGTGTAGAACTCGGAACAGATTGTCTTCTTAGGTAAACCCTGGGTCTCTGGTATTTTCCTATAATGTGTAGGTCACATGGCCATCAAGGCAGCACTGCCCTACATTTTCGTATTTCAGCCTGAGGACCAGTCTTTTGTTCGATTTGTGTCCTATAGTGGCCATTGTCCTGATTGTTTTTACATGACTGTTTGTCCTTTTGCCCTCCAACTCACCTTAAACATAACTTCCCCCCAAAAGTCCTTTCTGGATCTCCTTGCCTACAGAGACCCCCCTTTACACATTGTCCTGTTTATTTCTCAACACTTTAAAAACAATTCGTAGTGCTGTCACATCTCATTGCTTGCTTCCACCACAGATTTCCTGTGTTATTAATTACAACAGTAGTGCACCAAATGGCAGACATCAAGCACTCTAGGAAGTTATTAGACAAATGGGTGAAATCTATAGGGTTGCATTTCAAAAGCACCTGGATCTTAAAAAGTGTAAGATACAGTGCTTTAAATGAACATGAGCCCAGGAGATATCTTTACAGACGTTTCCCTCAAATAAGCTCCTTGGATGGCTCCTTAGACACTGCACCAAGAGCCCCCAGCTGTAGCCAAGCCCTTTCGCAGAGGTTCTCAGTCTCCCTCTGTCTGCAGGTCACACAGGCTGACACTCTACGGACACGTACCATCGAAATAAACCGGGGCTACTGTGTGTTTCCCAGAGGCCGGCTTGTCCCTGCCCCTCTTCCTTTCCCACTCAGGAAACCATGTCAGCAGGTAAGATAGTGAGTGTGAGTGTAAGGCCTTACAGGGATCACCTTAAGTAACACAAACTTACTATTAAAAGGCAAACAATAAACCAGTTATAAATATTAGACACTTTTTGTGGCAATGAATTACTTGACACAGTTAATAAAGACAGCGTCTTTCTTGATGTAGTGTCACGTGATTTTTTGAGTTTATGTTTAAGCAGTTGGTCTCAAACTTCTGGGGAGCATTTTATTGGTTATGTAACTTTTAGGGAAGAAAAAGGTGTATGAGTTGAGAGCCTAAGTGGGAGACGAATGTTTGGAAATTAACAGCAGTAGAGCCTTTACTGAGGCTTGTTAGGTATTGTTTCAGAATGATTAGCATAATGGCTATTAATATTTAAAGTGATCCATGTATATGCAAATGCCACACATCTGTCACTTGTAATTTCACTTAGTGAAAACTAATTAATTTTGTTAATATTTTCTACCATTCATCTAAAATACACTTGGAAATAATTTCCAAACTCTTGACAGAAGGAGGAAAGTAACACTACAATGACCTTTGTGTCTCTTTTAGTCATTTTCTTCTAAAGACAATTCAGTCAATTAGCTTGTCACCATACTTGCATAGCCTTAGTCTATACTAGCATATATGCATTATCTGGAAGACAATGATACACTCCAGGAAGCTCTGGGCCACAGAGGTGACTCTAGTTGGAAAAACAAGATATATCGGAAATAAAGTTGCTTGTATATGCTACGTTGTTTCAGTTCATACTATATCTGTATACCATATAGATACAGATACACATTTATTTCTAGAAGAACTATATTGCTCGTAAACCATGAGTTCCCATATACCTTTCATCAGTTTTCCTTAATGTTATTATCTTATGTAGCCATATGCATTTACTAAACTAAGGTATTGTCATTGGTATATTATTGAGTAAGCTATACTTCTTTTTCAGATTTAATGAGCATTTCAAGTAATGGGTATCTTTTTTTCTGACCTAATATTATATTTAACATATATGTGTTTAATGAGGCGTAAAATATAAAAGGAAGATGCAAAGAATTTTATGAGTACTCAGGCATCATTACTGTTAGAATTTAGTGCATTCTCTCCCTAGCACACATGCATTAACAAATACCACACACATTTTTAGGTCAGGCTTGACACCTATTTTAAATATTTTTGTATGTGTGTGACAAGATCTAACTATGTACCCTAGGCTGACCTAGAACTTGGGTTCTCTTGCTTCAGCCCCACAAGTGCTGGGATTACAAGAGTGTACTATTACACCTAGTCACCCACCTATTTTTTAATTCTCTTCTCTCACCATGTGGATTCCAGGAATAGACATATGTCATCAAATATAGTGGCAGACATATTTACCCATTGAGCCATCTCACCAACTATTTTTAATCACTTAGCAAATCACAAATATTACCCTCTGTAGTTTTAGTTTGACATACTTTTATATTTTCAGTTTTTTAAAATATGGATATTTTTTTGTTAACATTACTCGTTCATCTTTCATTTCATTTTTTCCTTGCAAATGATAACATGATGATTTTTAGTACACATGAACTTTGGGTAATATCCATATTTTTACAGATCAAAAAGAAGAGTATGTCATATGAGAATCTAGGGACTCCCCCTATTTGTTTTATTTTAAACTCAAGACTAATATATTTAAGCTAAACTGAAACCTGTAAAATTGAAAATGAACCTCTCTGCTCTGGTAGACCTGTTTCCCTGGGGAAGGAAAGCACTGGGAGGTCTGTCTGAGCCAACATGACAGAAATTGTTAGCACATACCTAAGTTCAAGTGCAGCAGCAAGCCTAAGCTTTACAGAGGTGGGCCAAGTGAGCTCTTAGAAGATTGTCACAGTCAATACATTTTGATGTGTCATTAAAGGTGGCATTGCTTGGGCATTTCCTAGGGTTGGCCAGTTTTACTTTTAGGGTTTTGCAATTTCTTGGTTAACAAATTACTACTGACTAGTTTTACTAGGTAAGAGACATTAGCAACAGAAAAATAGGACCCCGATTGTCCTTGACTTTCAAAGCATCTAGTTCACCTGCTCCTAGGACACAAGTCCTGTAGTGCCAAGACCTCTTGAGCTGTCGTCAGAGGACATTCTTGTAACACATGAAGCAGGACCAAGACAAGGAATCAGGATGTCTGCTCCCGCCCCCAACCCAGAGCCATGGTCCATAGCTACTGGACATTGTGAGTTCACTCTTGGAATAAAGGCATACCCTACCTGGACTAGAATGTGCAGAGTCGGGCAAATATGGCATCTGAAGCAGACTTTACATATCTGGAATCCAGTACCAACTAGACGCTCTTTGACATTAAGTAACTGAGGTCCTTAGTTTGAGCTTTCTCGGCATAAATGTAAGACTGCTATAGAGATTGATTTGAATGATTTGTGAAAATATCTGGTATGGTAGCAGGCATATAGTGTACAATTGGATGAAAGTTTATTCAATGAAGGGATGATGAATGTGCTTCCTAGATCTTTGGACACCTTATGTTTTAAATGGTTGTGTGGCTGTTTGTAATAGAAAATACAATAAACATCAAAGAAATGAATTGAATATCCATTTAACTCTCTCTCAGGGTTGCAGACAACATAAACTAACTCTGGCCAGAATTTGCTGGATGAACAGTCAGATCCTGAAATTTAGGAGTTGAAGCAGCAAGCAGTTGGATGACACAAGCAGTGGACCTCTGGGGCCTCGGAAGCAGATATTTATGGATCTTTCCTCTGTAATGTTGATGCCTTTATTTCTCGTCTTTAGTGATCTGTCATTGGTTACCAGGAAGACAGGGCTGTGTCTCAAACATGGACACTGCTATCACGTCTCTGATTCAGGAGCACTTCGCTAGGCAAAGGGAATACTGGGAGACTAATGTATTTTAAAGGGTTTCTTTTTTGTATATTTTTTGAAATGTTTTTGTACTATGGAAAAAGTAATTTTAGAGTCAACAAATGTTATTAATGTAGATATCAGCTTACCATAAAAGAGAGACATAGGAAATATTTATGTGATGGGCTGGAGGTGTAGCTCAGTGGTGGAACGCTTAGCTAGCATGCATGAGGCCCTGGGTTCAATCCCAAGAAAACCTCCTCCCCTACAAAAAAGCAGAAAATCGTTACAGGATGGAATTTCAGAATGTCACTGAAAGGTTTTAAAGGTTTTGTTGAGGCGTGATTGACATATAACGAAGTCCACATATTTGAAATCATGGTTTGGTATATTTTGGTACTGATGATGCACATCTGAAAAACTTCCACAATGATGAAGACAATGAATGAATGTCTTGCATCCTTGGATGTCTCCTTGTGCCTTTGTGTCCCTTCCCTCAACCCCTGCCATCCCTAAGCACCCACTGCCTATGTCCGTTAGATTGACTTGCATTTTATAGTGTTTCATATAAATGCGATCATACAGTTCATTTCTTCTTTTTGACTCAGTATGACTGCTGTGAGACTCATCCATGTCGCAGTAGATAGCAGTGCTTTGTTTCTTTACATGAGTGACTAATGCTGAATAGATTATATAGATTATACTAATGCTGAATAGATTATATAAACTATTAGTTAGCAAGCATTTTACTTATTTCGGTTTGGGCATATTACCAATAAAAATGTTATAAGAATTTGTGTGCGGTAATTTTTTGAAATGTTTTCATTTCTGTTGGGTAAACTAGACGTAGAATCACTAATTGCCAAGCAGCAAGTAGTTGTATTATTTTATATTCCCACCACAAATGTCTGGTAGTCACACTTGTTCTATATCTTCACAAACACATAGTATATGTCTAGCATGTACTTTGAAAATAATACTTTAGAAAGGGAAACAAGCCAAATAAAAAATTAATTAAAGATTTTAAACAACTTATCAAAGAAGATATATAAATAATGACAAGCATATTCAATATATTTAGTTATCAGAGAAATGAAAAATTAAAACCACAATGACATGGGTATTCAAATGGTAAGATGAAGCTATAACTAATAACTTCATATTATTATGCTAAGTTTATAGATGGAAAAACTGAGGCTCACAGAATTAAGTAACTCAATCAAAATAATTTTATGTCACAGTCATTTGAAGAAGGCTTTAAAATCTCAGGCTGAAAAGATGGGGGTTTACTTATTACTTAGTTATTCCTTTTGCTGGAAGGGCAGGCTGCCCTCATCACGGTGGATATTATGGAGGTTCTAGTGTAAAGTTTTGCTATCTACCTAACCTGGTGTGTAAAATGTACGTGTCTCCAACATCCCACTTTGTCTGGATACCTCTTGGAGAAATATTCAAAATATGGAAAATATATGAGAACCTCACTTGTCCAACAAATATACAGCTCTGTTTAGCTATGACCCCTAAAAATCAAGCTGTATTTTTCCTTTTTTTAAAATTTATTTTTAAATTTAAATCAGAAACAAGGTTGCTTCACATATCAATTCCAGCTCCCTCTCTCCATCTCCTTCCCCTCCTCCCACACCCTCCCACCAACCCTCTCCCCTCCCTCCCCCAATCCCCACTCCTTTCCCCAGGGAGGGTGAGGCCCTTCATGAGGGTTATCCATAGTCTGTCATTTCATCCAGAGCAGGTCCTAGGCCTTCCCCCAAGAGTCCAGGCTGAGAAAGCATCTCTCATTGTGGGATAGGCACCCAAAGTCCATTTGTGTGATAGGGATAATTACTGATCTACTACCCAAGGCCCCATAGATTGTCTAGGCCACCTCACTGACACCCACATTCAGGTGGTCTGGGTCAGTCCCATGCTGGATTCCCAGCCATCAGTCTGGGGTCCAAGAGCTCCCTCTTGTTCAGGTCAGCAATTTCTGTGGGTTAAACAAACTCAGTCTTGACTCCTCTGCTCATGCAGTTTACTGCTATGTCCTATACTTATTAGTCTCCCATCATTGAAGTTACCATGCCATTAATAATCTATGACCATCATAAGAATAAGTGTGTTAAGCTTCGTACTCACTACCAAGCTCAAAACACCTTAGCCAATATCTTACATATGAAGGACTTGTTCTCTCCTTTAGGAAATGGTCATTTCAGAACAGACTATGACAATTCCTTCCTTAAGAGTTCTAAGAAGTAAAGGAAAGTTGTCTTTAAAGGGTAGACAATGAGACCTTCTTTTGAAGGACTAGCTGTAGTTGCTGTAGAGCAACATCCTCTGAGTTTTAGAGTTCAAGGATCAGATGTGCAGGAGTCATAGAAGACAGAGGAACCAAAGGCAACATGATAAAGAACAGTAGGAGCACTGCCCCTTATGCTCGGATGACTGATACCTGTTTGCAGTTTGGTGGGCTTGCCCTTTGTATCAGGCACTCAACCTTGGTAGTATGTTCTTCGTTTCCCATGTGCTGTGACACCAGCCGCTCTTTTCCAGGTGTCTGGGATTGTTTCTGGGGCTACTAGTGATGCATTGTCTCTGTCCTGTTAGTTTCCTTGGAAATAGGAATAATGCTTTTGGTTAGTAGTTGGGGACTTCAGTGAGGTTTCCTCCAAGCATGTGGATGTAAGATTATGACGAGAGACAAATATACTTCTTTATATTGAGTGAGCAGTGCTCACTCAAGTAGTCTAGTAATAAGTTGGTCCTTCAGAGAGCCTGAAACTCTGCTGGTTGGCACCACTATTGTTACGCAAACTTCCCAGGAGATGGGCACTGAGAACAATTGTTTCTCCATGTTGGAAAATTGTTACCTGCTTTCAAAACAACCAGGCAGGTGAATGTTATACCCTAGGTATGAATGTATAAGTGGATGTCATTGTGGAGCTCTCTCTTACAATAAAATTTATATGGCTTTCAACTGTTCTAATTTAAGCATGATATCCCTAGCTTCACCCTTAGGTGACAAAGGAGTGGAGATTATGATGTACATCACACATCTTGTTCTCTGAACTCAGGCGTTGACATATGTCATCTTTGTGGAGCATTGTTGAACGCTATGACTTTGCAACACAAACATAATTATCTTTTACAGTTTCACTTCAAAGTAAGTGCACAGATAGACCTAGCAACTCCCAGGTTTACAAAGTATGTCCACAACATACCCATCCATTCATTTCTAAAAAAAATACGTGGTGGCACAGGCCTTTAATCTCAGCACTCAGGAAGCAGAGGCAGGCAGATCTCTGTGAGCTCAAGTCCAGACTGGTCTACAAAGTGAGTTCCAGGACAGCCAGGACTGTCGCAAAGAGAAACACTGCTTCAAAAAAAAAAACCCTAAAAATGTAAAATTTGTTTAACAATGCATATAAAATTTTCACATTTCAACTGGGCATTCAGCATATTAAGTACATTCATATTTTTACATAATCACCAACTCACTTCACATTATAGAAACTTAAAAATCTATACCATTTAGCCATAATCACCCACAGCTCCCAGAAATCACCATTCCACCTTCTAAATATATATGACTACTCTTGTTTTTCTAATCTCATTCAGTGGGTTCATTAGAATCTGTCTTATTTTCAGTTTCAATTCACACTGATAAATCAGAAATGGTGTGGATACCGGAAAAAGGAATCTATATACACTGTTGATGGGGATGTAAACTAGAAAGATTATGGAGAGGATTAAATGTTTTTGGACAAAAATTCAAAACCTACTACTGTAAAAGTGAGTGGAATTTAAGTGCAATTACCATATAATAGGGAGACAGTGTCCTAATTAGAAATCATATGCTACCAAGTAAAACACCCAGCACCAGAAATAGGTTAAATCTTATTTTTTTAAACTTTGGCTAAAGAGATCACACAGATCCCTCTCCAAACATCGTAGGCTGTTGCCAATGCTATTAGTTACCCTCTGCAATCTGATGGTAAGACCCAGTTACTAAAGACACCACATATTGATGTCATCCAACATGGAGGAATTGAGCTGGTGCCCAACTAGAAGCTTCGTCCCTCCTGACTAGCTTTCACAGTGTGGAAAAGTACTATACATGCTACCAGAGAAGAAAAGTAATCATGAGCCTATCCAAGAGCCCTGTGAGCTACAATAGTGACCTGGCTGCAAGGTATACCTACTTCTGCACTATTACACAAATGTTATGGGAGTAACTGACCGTTTGAATGAGAATTGCTCTCATAGGCTCATATGTTTCAATGCTTGGTCTCCAGTTAGCAGAACTGTTTGGGACAAATTAGGAGGTGTCATCTTGTTGAAGGAGGTGTACCTGGGATTGGGCTTTGGGGTTTCAAAAACCTGCACCAGGTCCAGTCTCTCTCTCCCTGCAACGTGTGGGTCAGATGTGGACTCCCAGCTATTGCTTCAGTGCCAGCCTGCTGCCATGTTCCTCACCATGATATTCATGGACTAACCCTTTGAAACTGTAAGTAATCTCCCAACTAAATGGTTTTTTGTATGTCATGGTGTCTCTTCACAGTAACAGAACAGTAACTAAGAAAGTAAGCAACTGTTTTTTAAAAATTGGAAATAAGTCTTACCCCCTGAGATGGAACCTATCTGACATGTAAATGAGGCCAGGAACCTGAGGCTAGACAGGTCATGGACCCCAGGGGGAAACTTACTATCATTCTGTTAAAGGAATGTAGACATATAATGGCCACTGATAGCACATTACTATATCCATAGATGAGTGCATTGCTCAACCCTTATCAGAGAAGCGTCTTCTTGCACTAGATATGATTTAACACGGAAACCTACAACTGGACAGTGTGTAAAGGGTGACTCAGCCCTTAATGAGATGTCTTTATCATATCCCTCCCCCAAAGCTCAGGGATTTACGCAGGAGTGGAGGTGGAAAATTGCAAAGAGCCAGAGATGGTGATGATTCCAAGGAAAGTGTATCTTTCAGACTCAACAGGGCTGTTATAGATATAAACTCACAGAGAGTGACAGCATGTACAAGACCCTCAAGCCAAACGAAAATCCCAGTGCAAAGAATGGGAAGTGGATACAAAATCTCACAAGAAGATATTTGCATTTGGTAGCTAATGGAAGAGGAAAAAAATAGAATTTTCTTTGACAGAATGGCACTGGGCTTGTCAACTGCAGTCCATGGCAGGCCAAAGTCTCAGGAATAACTGGCCATCACAAAACACAGACCACGTTTTTGTTGTTTGTTGTGTGTGTGTGTACTTTTTGGTAATTTTTTAAGAGAGAGGAAGAACACAAAATTGGGGGATGAGGTGGTAGGACTGGGAAGTGTTGAGGGTTGGAAAAGAATATGATCCAAATATATTGCATGAAAAAAATTAGAGCAGGCATGATGGAAGTCAGTGTGCAGATTCTCAGAAAGCTAAAATTAGAGCTATCATATGATCCAGCTATATCACTTTAGGATATTTGTACCTAAAAGAGTGTGAGTCGGCATACAACATATAACCAGGCAAGCTCAGGAAGACAAACATCACACTTCTGTTCATGCAGAATCTGCATTAAAAATGCGTAATGTTTTAAAGACATGGGAAGGGAAGGGGAGTTCTTCTGAGGATTACCAGTTCCATCCATTTTCCTACAAATGACATAAGTGCATTCTTCTACCTGGCTGAAAAAACTCCACTGTGCATATATGATCCATATTTTCTTTATCTCTTTGTCTGTTTATGGACACCAAGGCTGATTCCTTAATTTGTCTATTATGAATAGTGCCACAGTGCC